GTAAGGAAAAAGACCTTTAAAACAACTAGGTGACCTTCAATCGGATCGTCTTTGAGAAAAGGCCCAGGTGCCACCCTGAGGATGACTCTTAGTTCGATATTGGATCCAACGGGCTTATAGCCTTGAGAACTGTGTGGCACATTATTGTTTTCTTGGTACCACAGAAATTATTGGTGTTCATGTTATAAATCTGTTTTAAGTGGAAAATGTCGTTTATCATGTTTTTGCGAGACATGAGTATTTTAAGTGTTGAACTGTGGAACCTTCTTTTTGAACAGATTGTATTTACCAAACTGTATGCCAATCTAGTTTCTGTGATATATAGCTTATTTTGGAATTGAGCCATGTTTTCAAAACTGTATTTACTATCCATGTTGCTACTCACTGAGCTATCAGCTGACTTAGTTGTTTTACCATTTCAGGTGTTAGAAGGACTTAGAGTGGACTCATGGCGTAGCGGGGACTCAATTGCATGGACCTCTAGGGCATTCCTTTTAGTTTAGAGTGTTCTTTCAAGTTGTGTACATATTAAATTTATTCTATATCGAAGTTCATTTAGGATTATTTTTGATATGTGGTGTTTTATATCCATAAGTTTGGATGGTTTTTGATTACGGTTGATTTTGCCGTTTATAATTGTGACATGTCTGGATTGAGTTTTGGTTATTTATTATGGACTATTGTTCAGTTATTCAATGTGATTGGATTCGTGTTAGGCTTACGTGTGCCTTGGGCTAAGTCCCTGTGGGCCACGGCCGTCATGCCCGGATTTGGGGTGTGACATATCCAAACAGCGATTAATAGGATGGTACCCAATTGTGACACCCTGCACCATCTCATTCGGAGTAAAGAGATGCTAGAAAGGTCCGCTAAGGTTCATTTGATGCTCTGTGGTGTGTGTGTGTGTGTGTGTGTGTGTGTGCGCGCCACGCGCATGTCGTCTAATTTTTTGTGCATGTTCTGGTATATAGATCACCTTAAATCTAGAGCACAACATATGCTTAATTTTGCTAAAGATTATGACCATTTGCCACTTATAGCTAAAGTGGAGGTGTTTGAGTATGCTCTGCAAAATAGTGAAGAAATGACCTGGCAGGGTATGTTTTCTCCAGAAATATGCTGCATCTTTGGCTCTCTCCTAGGAATTCTTTTCTTCAAGTTAGTTTACATTGCCTCTTGATAGGTGTTTTAGTTAAAAAGTTGCACTTTTGAGATTGGCTGGACAGGAGGAACAAATTATGCTAGAAGCTTGGCTGTCATGAGCATGGTATCATTTTTCTTCTCGTATTATTTAGATCTTTTTCTTAAGACCAGCAAGATCCGCTATATATGTTTCCACAAAATCAACACAATATGGCTCCGGTGTATGATCTTATTTGTCAACCTTTTATGCTTTAGAATGTTTAGATAAGAGAATGTTTCGAAGTAAATGTAGTTATTTGATTTATACTTTTCTTTCTTTCGTTAGAATGATATACTAAGAAGGAACCCTGCAAATCACCTAACTTAATTTGTGAATATATACCCAATACAATTGTGTGTATTAGGTGTCTAAGTATTTGAATGCTTGTGTACATATCTTTCATTTTGTAGATATATGATTTTTTGGGTACTGATATTCTTCCGTTGTATACAGGGATTCTTTGTTATTTCTTTCATGGATGCCTATATATTTTAAAACAGTGAGGCATAGCTAGCCTAAAAGTTGTAGTTTATCAGCAATTTATCACATACTCAACAAGTGTACTGATTTTATGAGAAGATGAAATACATGTCTCTTTGTGATAGATATATCATGTCCACCTCAGACAAGCATCTTGGTCTTTCAAAAAAGTAAAAACATAAACCAAAGACAACTTCTATTAATTTTGTTTCCAAATGTATTTACTAGTAGTCATGGTCCACACAATGGACTCATGAACATCATGTATGGTTGTCCAATTTTTTTATTTTTTAAAATTTCTTCTAATTTTGATTCAAACAGGCAATAAACAATCATTGATGCTGGTTTCACAAAATTGCATGTAACCTGGAAAACTAGAAGTTTGAATTGAAATATTTTTGTCTACATTTGTTTCTCTTGTTTTTACTTTTGGATTTTCCTACTAATCATGTGATCAGTAAGCATCAGGTATATCCTTACTTGCAGTAATTGGTTTTGTTGGTCCTGGGATTGCGCTCAATGGTCTAACCATGGCAAAGCACACATCAATAGCATCTGCTTGGCTTACTTTAGCTTGTTGGGCGCTAAAATCATTTAGTCATTGTGGGTTCCTTGTAATCTTCAGGTTAGTGTACTCAGAAAAATATCACTTGAAATTAAGTACAGCATAAATTTTGTTTTCACCCACGTCTGACCTTATTTTCATTCTTTTCTACGAAGCAAGGTTTCTTAAGAAGCAGGTTTCAAAGAACATTTTAAAGGAGCAGTATCCCATGAACTCGTAGATCGCCGTTTGGTAAGTTCCACTTGTTTTATTGTTTTATTTTTCTAATGTTGGTTAGTTTATACTAGTTAAGCACAACAATTTCACTAATTATTAACTAAGATTTAACAAGTTTGAAGATGTATTAATGAAAATAGATTCATTAGTTATTTCTTACTTAGCATGACCCTTATTAAAATACACATTAACCAAAATAGAGACAAAACTACGTGTATATTTTTTTGTGTATTTTTGCTAGGTAGTGCTTGGAGTTGCTCTAATTTAGTGATGTGATTAATAGGAGCTTGTCATGTATAAAGGAACTTTTGGTTGTTAAGTTAGACTCATTGTGTAACATTTTGTATTGACATGGATAAAGAGGTCTATACAATGTAATTGATAATATTTAATATTTTTTTTTTGTTTATTTGCTTTGCAGATTGTGTTTTTGATGACGTTTGGAAGCATACTTGCAAATCAAGATCAAGTGTTAAATTTTTTTTCTTGAGCTGATACTTGGTTCTAGTTGCAAATCAAGATTGAATGCTAATTTTTTTTCGTGAACTCCATGTTAGTTCATTTTTTGATTTGCTTTGATGGTTTTTTTTGTATACTTAAATGGATTATTATTAAATTTGTTTGATGGATATATTTTGATTTATAATATTAATTTTTTGGTGAATTTTTTATGGAGTGGTATATAATAGCTAGTGGATTTCTTAGTACATTTAAAAAGGTTATTGGGATATGAATAGGGATATTTGTAAAATAATAATTTAAATTGAAATACAAATATGGGACAAGTTTAGTGACGAATTGTTTTGTCATTTGTATTTGTTATTATGACAAAGTGACTATTTGTCGCTAATAAATATTTTTTGTGACAAAATTTACTATAGTTTATATATGAAGGTTTTCATTAATTTTGTTGTTTGGTGATTAAAAATTTCGCATGTATATATATTTTTGTTACGAAATTTATTTCGTCACCCATATGATATTTGGAGACGAAAAAATTTTGTTCAACTTTACATCTTACTGTGATGAATTATTTCCTATCAATGATCAATATGCGTGACAAATTTATTCGTCAACTAAAGTTATAAATGTGGTACTGATAACTATTTGGTGACGAAAGAGGATTTTTGGTGACAAAATGTTGTTTTATTGGTGACAAAAAGTTTCGTCACCTAAAGTAATTTCATTGTGACGAAATTTATTTTTCGTCACGATGCTTTTTAGTGACAAACATTCAATGACGATCAGGTGACGAAAATATTTTTTCACAATATCTATAGTGACGAATTAGCTCTTTGGAGACGAAAAAATTCGTATCCAAGACCCAACTTGTTGTATGTAGGTCGTTGTGTTTTTTTTGGGTATGTTGCACACAAAAGGATATCGTTGTTACAATCGTATCATGGCGACATTATTTGTATGGAGAGTCATGTGAGATTTACACTGATCATAAGAGTTTGAAGTATGTTTTCACACAGAAGGAGCAAAATTTGAGGCAAAGAAGATGGCTTGAGGAAGGACTTAGAGTGGACTCATGGCGTAGCGGGGACTCAATTGCATGGACCTCTAGGGCATTCCTTTAGTTTAGAGTGTTATGTCAAGTTTGTGCATATTTATATTTATTCTTATCGAAGTTCATTTAGGATTATTTTTGATATGTGGGTTGTTTATATCCCATAAGTTTGGATGGTTTTTGATTACGGTTGATTTTGCCGTTTATAATTGTGACATGTCTGGATTGAGTTTTGGTTATTTATTATTGGACTATTGTTCAGTTATTCAATGTGATTGGATTCGTGTTAGGCTTACGTGTGCCTTGGGCTAAGTCCCTGTGGGCCACGGCCGGTCATGCCCGGATTTGGGGTGTGACATATCCAAACAGCGGATTAATAGGATGGGTACCAAATTGTGACACCCTGCACCATCTCATTCGGAGTAAAGAGATGCTAGAAAGGTCCGCTAAGGTTCATTTGATGCTCTGTGTGTGTGTGTGTGCGCGCGCGCGCGCACGCGCATTTCGTCTAATTTTTTGTGCATGTTTCTGGTATATAGATCACCTTAAATCTAGAGCACAAACATATGCTTAATTTTGCTAAAGATTATGACCATTTGCCACTTATAGCTAAAGTGGAGGTGTTTGAGTATGCTCTGCAAAATAGTGAAGGAAATGACCTGGCAAGGGTATGTTTTCTTCAAGAAATATGCTGCATCTTTGGCTCTCTCCTAGGAATTCTTTTCTCAAGTTAGTTACATTGCCTCTTGATAGGTGTTTTAGTTAAAAAGTTGCACTTTTGAGAATTGGCTGGATAGGAGGACAAATTATACTAGAAGCTTGGCTGTCATGAGCATGGTATCATTTTTCTTCTCGTATTATTTAGATCTTTTTCTTAAGACCAGCAAGATCCGGCTATATATGTTTCCACAAAATCAACACAATATGGCTCCCATGTATGATCTTATTTGTCAACCTTTTATGCTTTAGAAATGTTTAGATAAGAGAATGTTTCGAAGTAAATGTATGTTATTTGATTATACTTTTCTTTCTTTCGTTAGAATGATATACTAAGAAGGAACCCTGCAAATCACTAACTTAATTTGTGAATATATACCCAATACAATTGTGTTATTAGGTGTCTAAAGTATTTGAATGCTTGTGTACATATCTTTCATTTTGTAGATATATGATTTTTTGGGTACTGATATTCTTTCCGTTGTATACAGGGATTCTTTGTTATTCTTTCATGGATGCCTATATATTTTAAAACAGTGAGGCCATAGCTAGCCTAAAAGTTGTAGTTTATCAGCAATTTATCACATACTCAACAAGTGTACTGATTTTATGAGAAAGATGAAATACATGTCTCTTTGTGATAGATATATCATGTCCACCTCAGACAAGCATCTTGGTCTTTCAAAAAAGTAAAAACATAACCAAAGACAACTTCTATTAATTTTGTTTCCAAAATGTATTTACTAGTAGTCATGGTCCACACAATGGACTCATGAACATCATGTATGGTTGTCCAATTTTTTATTTTTTAAAATTTCTTTCTAATTTTGATTCAAACAGGCAATAAACAATCATTGATGCTGGTTTCACAAAATTGCATGTAACCTGGAAAACTAGAAGTTTGAATTGAAATATTTTTGTCTACATTTGTTTCTCTTGTTTTACTTTTGGATTTTCCTACTAATCATGTGATACAGTAAGCATCAGGTATATCCTTACTTGCAGTCAATTGGTTTTGTTGGTCCTGGGATTGCGCTCAATGGTCTAACCATGGCAAAGCACACATCAATAGCATCTGCTTGGCTTACTTTAGCTGTTGGGCTAAAATCATTTAGTCATTGTGGGTTCCTTGTAATCTTCAGGTTAGTGTACTCAGAAAAATATCACTTGAAATTAAGTACAGCATAAATTTTGTTTTCACCCACGTCTGACCTTATTTTCATTCTTTTCTACGAAGCAAGGTTTCTTAAGAAGCAAGGTTTCAAAGAACAATTTAAAGGAGCAGGTATCCCATGAACTCGTAGATCGCCGTTTTGGTAAGTTCCACTTGTTTTATGTTTTTATTTTTCTAATGTTGGTTAGTTTATACTAGTTAAAGCACAACAATTTCACTAATTATTAACTAAGATTTAACAAGTTTGAAGATGTATTTAATGAAAATAGATTCATTAGTTACTTCTTACTTAGCATGACCCTTATTAAAATACACATTAACCAAAATAGAGACAAAACTACGTGTATATTTTTTTGTGTATTTTTGCTAGGTAGTGCTGGAGTTGCTCTAATTTAGTGATGTGATTAATAGGAGCTTGTCATGTATAAAGGAACTTTTGGTTGTTAAGTTAGACTCATTGTGTACACAATTTGTATTGACATGGATAAAGAGGTCTATACAATGTAATTGATAATATTTTAATATTTTTTTTTTGTTTATTTGCTTTGCAGATTGGTTTTTGATGACGTTTGGAAGCATACTTGCAAATCAAGATCAAGTGTTAAATTTTTTTTTCTTGAGCTGATACTTGGTTCTAGTTGCAAATCAAGATTGAATGCTAATTTTTTTCGTGAACTCCATGTTAGTTCATTTTTTGATTTGCTTTGATGGTTTTTTTGTTATACTTAATGGATTATTATTAAATTTGTTTGATGGATATATTTTGATTTATAATATTAATTTTTTGGTGAATTTTTTTATGGAGTGGTATATAATAGCTAGTGGATTTCTTAGTACATTTAAAAGGTTATTGGGATATGAATAGGGATATTTGTAAAATAATAATTTAAATTGAAATACAAAATATGGGACAAGTTTAGTGACGAATTGTTTTCGTCATTTGTATTTGTTATTATGACAAAGTGACTATTTGTCGCTAATAAATATTTTTTGTGACAAAATTTACTATAGTTTATATATGAAGGTTTTCATTAATTTTGTTGTTTGGTGATTAAAAATTTCGTCATGTATATATATTTTTGTTACGAAATTTATTTCGTCACCCATGTATGATATTTGGAGACGAAAAATTTTGTCAACTTTACATCTTACTGTGATGAAATTATTTCCTCATCAATGATCAATATGCGTGACAAATTTATTCGTCAACTAAAGTTATAAATGTGGTACTGAATAACTATTTGGTGACGAAAATGAGGATTTTTGGTGACAAAATGTTGTTTTATTGGTGACAAAAAGTTTCGTCACTAAAGTAATTTCATTGGTGACGAAATTATTTTTCGTCACGATGCTTTTTAGTGACAAACATTCAATGACGAATCAGGTGACGAAAATATTTTTTCACAAATATCTATAGTGACGAAATTAGCTCTTTGGAGACGAAAAAAATTCGTTATCCAAGACCCAACTTGTTGTATGTAGGTCGTTGTGTTTTTTTTGGGTATGTTGCACACAAAAGGATATCGTTGTTACAATCGTATCACCAAGCGCACCTACGTTACTATGGACGTTACTTTCTTAGAATTTGAGATTTTTTTTTCCTTCCATCGTTATCCACTTATTCTCTTGAGGGGGAGACACGTGATGAAGAGTAAAATTGGTGGGATTGTATTGGATTTGAAGACAATCTAGGAGAAGTGAGTGAAAGTGAAGAATATGAGGTGATAGTTAGTGGGGAAAAGAGAACTAATGCTAAGCAGACAGAATGGAATGGTACTGATATTATTCAGGGGGTTGAGCATGATTCATCCGGTACTAAACAAGAATCATCCGACCTTGAAAACGAATCTCTCCACTCCTTACTACTTGAAGACCTATCTCTTGAGAAAATTCCTGAGGTAAGCCCTCCTACTACACCATATCCTACTAATGACTTGAATACTTCTGCTGGTTATAATTTATCTTTCAGACACAATTGTGGCAAGCCACCAAATCGGTACTTCCCAGATGTTGAGGAAAAAAGATCAAGATACCCAATTGCCAATTATATATGTGTCCACTCAAAGATTATCAGAACCCCTCAAAGCATTTGTGCATAAGTTGTCCTCATGCCAAGTTCCCAGCAGAATAGAAGAAGCCTTAACAAATCCAAAGTGGGTTCAAGCTATAAAAGAAGAAATTGAGTCTCTGGAGAAGAATAAAACATGGCTTCTTGTTTCAATATTGAAGGGAAATAAGACAGTAAGTTGCAAATGGGTTTTCTCCATTAAACAAAGGCAAATAGATCCATCGAAAAATACAAAGCGAGGCTTGTGGCAAAGGGATATACTCAGATGTATGGTATAGATTATCAAGATCACTAGTGGCAAAACTGAACACGGTCATAGTCTAGTTGTCACTTGTAGCAAACTTAGAATGGTTGTTGTATCAGTTTGATGTGAAAAATGCCTTTATTCATAGTGATCTCGAGGAGAAGGTTTAAATGGATACTTCACCAAGGTACACTGCATCTTCAAATATTGAGGTTGTGTGTAAGTTGCAACGAGCAATGTATGGGCTAAAACAATCACCCCGTGCATGGTTTAGTCGATTTAGCTTGGCTATGAGAAAATATGGCTTCCAACAAAGCAACTTGGATCATACTCTATTCTTGAAACATTATCTGGAAAAGATAACTACTCTAATAATCTATGTATATGACATGATTATTATAGGGGATGACATGGAAATGACCTCCAGACTACATGAGCAATTGGCAATCAAATTTGAAATGAAAAATCTCAGAGGACTCAAATATTTTTTTGGAATTGAGGTAGCTATATCAAAACAAGGTATATTTCTTTTTCAAAGGATATATATAGTAGATTTGTGATAGAAGTGAGATTACTGGACTACAAGCCAGCTGATACTCCAATTGTTTAGAATCATAAACTTGGAGAGTATGTAGATCAAGTACCAACTAATAAAGAGAGCTATCAGAGATTGGTTTGTAAGCTAATTTATTTATCCCATACGCGCCCAGATATTGCTTATGCTAAGATCATATGGATATAGTAATTCAGATTCTTCGCTATTTGAAGTCATCTCCTAAAAAAGGGCTTTTGTTCTCTAAGAATGACCATCAAAAGATGGTTATACAAATACAAATTGGGAAGGGAATATTTCTGACAGGAAGTCCACATCAGGCTATTTTACCTTCCTAGAAGGTAATCTCATCACATGGAGGAGCAAGTTGCAAAAGGTAGTGGCATTATCTAGTGCTGAAGCTGAGTTTAGAGGAATGGCCAAAGGTCTTTGTGAACTTTGGCTAAAAGGTTACTAATCGAGATTGGCTTTGCTCCTAACTTTGAAATGAACTTGTTCTGTGACAAAAAGGCAGCCATTGATATTTCTCATAACCCAGTCTAGCATTTTTTTTTATCAGTAAAATAAAATAAACTTTATTGATGAAAACAAAATGCAATACATATGAATACATCAATAAAGCAAGGCAAGAGCAATAAGCATCATAGCGAACCTCTTAATCCCAACTAGGTTGGCACTAAGAGGACCACCCAATCATGTGCAAGTTCAAGCCACAAAAGTTGGAGAGATACCAACACATATTACTACCTCAACAAATTTCAAAAAAACAACTAGGCAAATAAACCACCCAAACACATTGCCATAATAACCACCCAAATCCTACTAGATCACACAGCAATATCAGCAGCAACAGAATTATCAATGATAAACTCCACAAAGATTCAACTTCATTAGCCCATCCAGCCATTGAAGATCACACTGCGTAGGCCCCTACTGAACATAATGGATTATACCAACAACAGGACACCCCAAAACCAAGCATCCTTAAAGCACTCCCCTTGTACCACCACCCAAACAAAATCTAATATGCTTCAACTTGAAAATAAAATCATGCACTGTGAATTTATGATCTTTAAACACTTCCTTGAACCACACATCCATTCTAAACTTTATCAGATCACACGCACCTTCCACATTTGGGACAACATCCCTAAACAAGCATTCATTACGATGTTTCCACAAGGATCATAGTACTGTTATAGGAATAACTTCCTATATCATCCTCTTCTTTTTGTTGAGCATAACCCCTGCCCACCAGTTAAGAATAGCCTCCACTATATCTGGCAATGCACATTGTACATCCCACCAATTTAGTATTTCTGACCACACTCTCCAAGCCACATGATTAAGTGACTCATCCACAAATTTGCACAGAATGCAGAGGGTTGATGCATTTGCATTAAGAACACTACTCCGGAGAAGAAAGTCTGATGTTTTAAGTCTATCTTTCCAAGCAAGCCACCTAAAAAATTGAACTCTAGGAGGAATGTACTTCACCCATACCCTTTTGCTAGTTACACTATAGCTGCCAAAACCACATGCCATAAATTTATACACTGATTCAACTGTAAACCTCCCTATTTTTTAAGCCTCCCAAACCATTGTATATTCGGAGAATGACCTGATAGCAGGACCTGCCTCTAGATATCCTATCAATCTGGTAACCTCCATACTTTCCCAATCATATAGCTCCCTTCTGAATTGGAGCGACCACTCACCTGTATCCTTCTTCCTTTCCAACATTGCAGATAAAGACTCTCCCTTATTTACTACCAATCTATATAAAAGTGGAAACTCATCTTTAAAACTTAAATTTACACACCATTTATCAATCCAAAACTTCACTCTATGGCCATTACCTACTTTTAACCTACAATTTTCCAGAAAAAAACTTCATAAGGTTGTTATTCTGTTCAATGCCTTTCACTGTATCCTTCCAAATTTTTGAACACCTGTTGTTAGAGCTGAATGGAGGCCGCCAATTCCTCTTATCTACCATGTATTTGCTGCATATGACTCTTTTCCATAGTGCTTTGCTCTCAACTCCAAACCTCTAATACCATTTCAATAAAAGGCAAACATTGAC